GGCTTCACTGAGTTACGCAAGCCCCTTCGCCACGACAAGGCAGTGATCCATGAAGGGGGCCGAGCCAACCTTACAAGCCTGTAAAGTTGTAGGGCCACAAGTATGTCATCTTTCAGGCCCGTCTGATGCTGTGCATGCATATGCCATGCCCTTCCCATTCCTATTTTCATTTTTGTGCTACTTTGATGACATCATTAAAATTTTGGATGAATTTCTGTGTTCTGTACTCACCTTTCTGTTGCACACTGTGTTACTTGAAATTTCTCCCCCTTTGATTTTCTTAGGTATCACACTTTGCAGCCATAGGTCATTGTTGGTTTGTCTATGGTGTTAAAGATGTCTTTACTTGCTTTGGCATTTTTCATCAGTTGGAGGATTGGTTTTTTGTGGTTAAAACTGAACTATGCCACTTTTCTTTGTTATGATATTGTAAGCCCTTTGGGGTAGGCCGAGTCAAGAAACAGATGCTGGAGGGATTCCAGGAATGCTGGAACTTGCCCAAGTTTCTCCATGGCCCATATTATACTAAACAGAATCAAGGTGGGGTTATTTTGAGTTTCTCTCTCATGCTTCCGTCAGTCTCTGGACTGTGTAATCTCCTCTCCAAGTCCTTCTTAATGACTTCTTCCTTTTCCCCTTAACAGCTCTCTCATATCTTCCCCAAGGTCAGCTCTAAATCTCTTTATAGATATTTCTTGGTTGATTGTGGCACTTTTTTTTTTTTTTTTGGCAGAAGTGACTTTTTTTGTGTGTAAAAGTTCATAATTTACATGAATATTTTTTAGCAGAATAGCTTAATGTATTAAGCTCAAAAGGTTAGAATAGAGATTTTGATGTATAAACCATCCGTAGGCTATTGGCTTCTGAACAGAAGCATTGTTTGACATACGCAGAACACTATTCACATTCAGTTTTAAGCAGAGCTGGCATTAAAATTCAGCTAATTTGCTTCATGTGACTTCTCAGCTGTGGTTTTTCATTTAAGTCTTTAGCTCCTTTTCTTTTTGGAGTCTTGTTTGACAAAAATCAGATGGTTGACACATTTAACTCTTTGTTCTCTGTCTTAATTATATTTGTACTAATTTCAGGCATGGTTGCATAGATGGAATATAAGAATTTTTTTGCTCTGTTTATAGGTTCAATTTATGGATGACTTGAAGAAAGTTTGGCTTCACATATACAGTTGTTTACAATTTCAAATACAGTTTTTAAAATGTCAAGATAGATAAATAAGAATTCTGAAATAAACTTCTTCAGCCAGATTTAAAAGAAACACATCATATATATGTAAACCATATTAGACAAGAGTTTCTAATCTGGAACTTCTTTTGCTTTCTTCAGAATTTCAAAGAATATTCCAACAACTAAAGATGTTGAACCTTTGCTAGAAATTGATGGTGATATTCGAAATTTTGAAGTATTTTTGTCATCACGAACTCCAGTCCTTATAGCACGAGATGTAAAAACCTTTTTACCATGTACAGTGAATCTTGATCCCAAACTACGAGAAATTATTGCAGGTAATGTATTATCAATTAATTACACAATAAATGATTTTAATATTACTAGCAAAACACTTTTTCTAAGTTCCCAAATTTCACTTAAATGTATCAGAACAAATTTATATGCAATCATTATTTACAATAGGATTTATCTTTCCAATAATTAATGATGTGTTGTTAATTGCTTATAAAATATTATAGCCTTGTTTACTTTCTCTAGTCCATATATCAGTTAGATGTACATTCTTGCAGGTATCTTATATTTTTGGTTGTCTTCTTAGCCCCCATTACTTACTGTTTACTTTGGAGAGATGTGTCAGTTGCTTTGTGAAGCAACTGAGAGCTCACACTTGCAACAGTTCATATAGCCCTAGTAGTTACTATATAAAATCTTACAGTACTGATAATGTAGAAAATGTTTTTTGTAGAGAAATTGATTATGGGTTTTTTTCAAGTAAAACATTCCTCTTAATAATGTCTCTGCATGGTTTTAAATAATAAAACAAAAATCCTTATGTATCTATTTGAAGCTTCTTTGATTTTTGAGTATACATGTTATTTCACTGAGGGATGAGCATCCTTGTCTTCTTTATTGGCTAAACATAGGCAGTGACATTGGAGAATGCTGTATTTTTAGTAATTACAGACCTTTCCACACTTGCATAGTGGGATGTATCCAGAGTTCTGTATAATTGACCTACCCCCCTTGGACTTACTTCCCACCCAACATTCTCCTGTGGACTCGATTACAGAGCTTTCAGAGAGGAGAGATAAATTGTAAGGAGAGACTTCAACTACCTAGGGATTTGTTGGAAAACCAACTTGGCCAAGGCTGCAAGGTCTCCAAAATTCCTCAGTGGTCTTTCTGACTGTTTCATTTTCTAGAAGGTTGAAGAAACAACCAAGGAGATTGGTTGTTGTAGACTTGATCCTAACCATTAAGGAAGAGGTAAAAGCAGTGGGAACACTGAGAGGAAATGGCCGTGTCAGCTTGCAATATAAGATACTGGATCAGGAGGGCCTCCGCACAGTCACTCG